AAAAAAAAAAAAAAAGGTACAACTTGTTTCTTAACATTTTGCAATTCTGAAAATTGGAAAGATACTATGCTAGCAAGGAAGAAAGAAATCCATGCAGTGTCAATTAGTACAGCTCTGCAGATGAATGAATAATTTGCCTCTCCAACTACAAGTTGGAGTGAGGTTCATTTCTAGCCTGCAAAACCAAATATTCTCAGGTTTAGAATGGCTGTTTAATTTCCTAATGGCTATCTATGTATGATAAACCGCTTTATGCTGAGATGTTTCCGAAGCAGAAGGACCAGTTCCTAGAATCCTAAATAAGTCTGTGGGGCCTAGATAAGCCATTTCTGAAAGCTGCTGAGTTAAATATATTTTCACTTAGTGACGCATATTTGAACCTAAATGTGTTGATTTCAGGGGACTCTTCCAGGATTCCATTGGAGACTTGCCTGAAACCGTGTCTTTTTTTTTTTTTTTTCTTCCTGTTTTCCTTTTCAGAAAGAAGACATAGCTCGTCCAGCAAGCCTTCTTCGGCCGTTCCTCCCACTTCAGTATTTTCCTTCTTCCCTTCTCTGTCCAAAAGCAAAGGAGGCAGCGGGAGTGGAAGCAGCCGCTCTTCCGGTGGAGGTGTCCTAAGCGCATCCTCATTAAGTTCCAAGTTGCTGAAATCACCCAAAGAGAAATTCCAGCTCAGGGGGAACACCAGGCCAATGCATCCCATTCAGCAAAGTAGAGTCCCCCATGGTAGAATGTGAGTATGGCCATCCAAGAGCGTTCTCAAAGCTTCCCTGCTGCAAGTGGAGCTGTGTACCCCAGTGGCATCTGAGAGTGCTGTGGATAATGGGGGAGAGAGGCTGCTGGTGGGCGGGGGGGGAGGCAAATAGATGTTGTTTCTTTTTGTCTCCCTATCCTATTTGGGGAGGCTTTACAGAATAGTAATAGTAAGGTTAATAATACTGATACTTTATTGTGGGCCAGCTATGGAAACTTGGCTCTCTTTGTGTCCTGTCATTTGATTATCACAACAATCCTATGAAGCAGGTCTTGTTGTTATCCCCATTTTGCAGATAAGGAGAAGGAAACATAATAAGGTCGAGGAGCGTTAGCCAAGGAGCACTCCCGTCAGGCCTGGGTTCACACGCCCCTTCTGTCACTTCCTAACTGCAGGGCTTTGAGCGAGGCACCGTTTCTCTCTCAGTGTGAGAATAACAGCCACGGTGCAGAGTTCCTGGGAGGAGTAGAATTAACATGGTAGCGTCAAGCACCTGGCCTAGTGTCTGGCCCACAGGAGACAGTAAATGAATGGACACTGGTGCTTCTGCTGCTGCCGTTGATAACAGTGGGAATAAAAAGGTGAGGTGATTCCTAGATGCTGTGCCAGGATTTTCTGGAGCCTGCAGAGCAATAGGGAAACAATGCTTCCTCCCCCACAGTCTTGGGTTCCCATCACAGTAGTGACAGGGGAAGACTGGAAGAAGTTCCCACTGCCAGGCAAGGCTTTGGCACGTTTGTACAGTGGGTTTGGAGGCTGCCAGGCTCCTTGTGGTCATGTGAGAGAGCAGCCCAAGTGCTCCGCAGAAACCTATCATGGCAGCCCTCGGCCCTGGTGGTGGGTGGCTTTTCCCTGGCCTGCCTCCCTTTTGGAGGGTACGCCCTGCATCTCCGTCCCAAGGTCTGATAACCTGGGTAATCTCAGGGCAGCGTCTCACACCTGCTACTGCTCGAGGACCTTGCCAGCTGGGAGAGGCCATGGCTTCTTGCAGCACCTCTGCTGCTGTCGGGCTCTTCCAGGTACAGCTGTTCGGTGCTGTTTGTCCTGGTTGCTGAGCCCCCAGCCTCTGCTCATCTGTCAGGAGTACAAGTACGGCAAGCTTGGCTTCCGTTCCTGGACCTGTCTGAAAGCCAAAGAAAATGCCAGTGCTGTGCATAAGTCACTTGCCAACTTAGCAGCTGCTGGAGCACTGACTTCACTGAACGAAGTTTACAAAACCTCATCAATCCACATCTTCTTTATTTGGACAGAGCTGGGCTTTAGAGGCGGACCAGGCCGACTGTTAGCTTTGTACCAACATTTGCTACCCGAATGATAATGTAAGATTCCCAGAAAACACAGTTCTTTATTAGTGGCCCAGGTGTTCGGGACTCACCAGCTGTGTCCAGACACTTGACTTCTGCGCTCTTATTATAGAAACTCAGAGACTGGAGAATTAGCACTTCAGTGACACATCACACAACTAATTAAACATCCGTCTCCTTCATTGACAGGGGCAAAAAGCCTCTTCTCGGCGATACGGTTAGGCTCATTTGAATTCTTGCATGTCCACAGAGACGTTTCTTGGACATATTCTCTAATTCTAATTATTCTTTCCTTGTTCACTCACTTTACTTAATTTTGATGAATACTTTCTTAAAAATGATAGTTCTCAAAAGATATTCTCTAAAGGTTTTGCAGGTAGTCTTTGGTCCCTTTAGACCTTTTTATGTTCTGCTGCTTGCAGGAATTGAGTTGGGTATCAGGTGTAGGTCTCCCATAGCCTCATGTGTAAGATTGTCCTGGATGATGAAAGACCAGGTAAATCCGACGGTCCACTGGAGCTTTTTGCTTCACCAGGAGGGCTTAGAGACTGAATCATCACGAATCTTCCTGAGTTTTCTGGGTAGTCCCAACACATTTTCATAAGTTTCCTTTGGGGCCCTAGCTCTGTGCAGTGCATGGGTAAATGGAGGCTCTGCCCTCTGCCCTCTAGTTCCCCACTTCCGTGGGGCTATGGGACCCTCAGGGGCTGATGTTCTGCCCCCCCCTCTGACAGCATGACGCCCTCTGTCAAAGTGGAAAAGATTCATCCGAAGATGGATGGCACACTACTGAAATCTGCGGTGGGGCCCACCTGTCCTGCTACTGTGAGTTCCTCAGTCAAGCCTGGCCTTAACTGCTCCTCAATACCAAAGCCAACCTTGCCTTCACCTGGACAGATTCTGAATGGCAAAGGGCTTCCTGCAGCATCCACTCTGGAAAAGAAGTCTGAAGATAATTCCAATAACAGGAAATTTTTAAATAAGAGATTATCAGGTAACTTCACATTTTTTGTCTTAATGTTCTCTGTATATTAATTGGGCATTCATGAGGGAGCAGATGGGCTGCTGTCTGTCAGTCCTCTCTTTAAGACTGGTCAGCTTCGGGCGCCTGGGTGGCTCAGTCATTAAGCGTCTGCCTTCAGCTCAGATCATGATCCCAGGGTCCTGGGATCGAGCCCCACGTCAGGCTCCCTGCTCGGCGGGAAGCCTGCTTCTCCCTCTCCCACTCCCCCTGCTTGTGTTCCCTCTCTCACTCTCTTTCTGTCAAATAAATAAATAAAATATTTAAAAAAAAAATAAAAAAGACTGGTCAGCTTCAGCTTTAGGAGGAAGTTCCTTAAGTACAATGTCTGTTCTCTTCACTCTTGCTTTTAAAAGTACATGGGTCTGTAGGTGCTGTAAAACTAGCTTTCTCGGGGTGTCTTTGTGAATGGAGTGGTGTGGTAGTGCTGACTTGCACACTCTCTTTCCTGTCAAGTGATGGCGATAGTCCCCCGCTCTCTTTGTGGTGTCCGCTGCTTTGCAGGGCTCACGTGTTGTAGAGTTTATACTTATTGATGATGTCGTAGATTTTATTCAAGTTATAATTTGTCTGTTTTGAGATTGCTCCTTTTGTTTTCAAAATAAAGGAAGGAATGTTTGGTGAGCCCATGGTAATGTCTGTGTGCTTTTGACAGAAAGAGAGTTTGACCCTGACATCCACTGCGGGGTCATCGACCTCGACACCAAGAAGCCCTGCACCCGCTCTTTGACATGCAAGGTAGGTGGCCTCCTGGACAGGACTGGAAACTCTCCGGTAAGCACAAGGAGCTGGGGTCCGTGGCATGGCCCCTCAAGTCACTTGAACCTGGAGGGGATCTGATCTGTGCATTGTTCTGAGGGGATTGTAAACGAGGGGATGGCTGGGCTTGGATGAAGAATGCCTGCAGTCCAGAAAATGTGATATCTTCTGTGATAAGCTGCAATCGTAAGAGGCATTTTGCCCCCAGTGAGCTTCCAGTGTCATACCCAGGGGAATAGTGTTCTTTCCTAATCAGTCTGTTATTTTCAAAGACTGTTAGTATTTCTGCAGAGAAATTTAATGTGAGAGGCTACCCTTTACTGTGGTTTAAATTGTATGGACTTAAAACAAGTCCAGAAATTTCCTTTGCCTATGTGTGAATATTCTTTAAAATGCTTGTGTAGTATGTGGTTCTTAAAGAGCCACTTTAAAATCCTCTGATTTTGAGATAGACTCATTTTTCCAGTTCTAAGAAAATACTAGATAATATACAATCTTACTAAGTGAAGAAAATATTATAATCCTCCTTTCTGTCCTGAGTTTTCCCTTAAAATGCCGGTATGCTAATAAGAAGGTGGTGTATTTGCTGTACAGTTGGAGTTGCTGTGGAGTGGCTTCAGTGGACCCCCTGCATAAATGAGCAAATGTGCTTATGTGCCTTTCTCCGGAGAATGTCCCCAGCTACCCTTCAGAAGGGTTCAAAAACTATTGAGAATCATTGCTTTAAAGTAATTTTGTAAAAACACTTGTTTGGAGAAGGGGGTAAGAATTACAAAAATGAGTGTTCTAAAAATTTAATAAAATTTTTGGTGTATTATTTTAAATTTTGCCAAAGATTATGTTTGAATAAAGGACTTCAGGCCCAACTCCACCCCCTAACAGTGGAGGAATGTTAAAATCTTCAGAAAGTGGAAATGTTGTTTTAAGTGGTTCTTATTTCAGTTTAAATTTCTAATTTAAGGGCGCCTGGGTGGCTCAGTTGGTTGAGCGGCTGCCTTCGGCTCAGGTCATGATCCTGGAGTCCCTGGATCGAGTCCCGCATCGGGCTCCCTGCTTGGCGGGGAGTCTGCTTCTCCCTCTGACCCTCCTCCCTCTCATGCTCTTTGTCTCTCATTCTCTCTGTCTCAAATAAATAAATAAAATCTTTAAAAAAAAAAAAAAATTTCTAATTTAATTTTAGCATGTAGATTTTATCCTACAACAGTGGTTTTGAAGCTTTTAAGGAAAGGCGGCCAACAGCTCCTTTAAATATCTAACTTAAAAAAAAAAAAATCACAGATCATTTTCCCCAAGGAAAAATACCTGTATACACATATATATTCTGAATTTTGCATTCTGTCTCAGGGGTTCGCACATATCTTCACCCCAAGCCCCTGACCCTTGAATTCCCTAGGCTAAAATCTCCTTTCTCCGGCCAAACTGCTTTTATTTTATATAACATTAGTTGAACATAGAGCACCGTGTGTTGTTGGAAGGTAGCCCTTCGAGCTCTGGAGAACCGTGGCCCGCTGCAGCTGCCCCGTTGGGAGTTTGCAAGCACAAGCCTCGGCCGGGTACCACGGCCTGGTCCCACTCAGCCTGCCGCCTGCTCTCGGCTCTCTTGCCGCCTCCCTAGCTCTCAGGACCCTGGATCTCTCAGTATTAGGGTGCCTGTGGTCGATGAAGAATGCTTGCTTTATCCAAAAGGCTTGCCTTTAATCATCTCCGGGGCATGCCAGTGGACCAAAAGCTTTATCAGTTCATAATGTGCAGGATTGACTAGCCTTCTCTCTGAGCCTTTATTGACGGTGAACAGACCTCATACGGGTCCTGCATTGTCGTCCCGTGTTCCTTTTCAAGTCGTGTGTGCTCTCCGTGTGTTCTGTGAAGGGTGTCGTCTGCGTAGCACGGTGCGGGGCCTGCCTTCATGTTAGTTTGCATCTGTAGCCCTGGCGTGTCCCAGGTCAGCAGAGAGGTGGCAGGCCTGTCCTTTCACAGGTGGCCCTTCCTCTCCTCCTGTGTTCTGTTTGCCGCTGCTTCTCCCGCTCCCTGCCTCCATTTTGGCCTGCATCTCTTAAGCTGTGGAGGGCTGCCCGTGCTTGAGGGCCTCCCCGCTGAGCATCTCCCACCTTCCCGCCCAGGTCTGTCCTGCCTCAGACCGAGAACGTAGTCCTTCCTCTTCAGGGTCTGGGGACCTGCTGCTGCCCAGTCTGTCGCTCGTCCCCTTTTTTTTTTTTTTTTTAAAGATTTTATTTATTTATTTGACAGAGACACAGTGAGAGCAGGATCACAAGCAGGGGGAGAGGGAGAAACAGGCTTCCCGCGGAGCAGGGAGCCCGATGCGGGGCTCGATCCCAGGACCCCGGGATCATGACCTGAGCCGAAGGCAGACGCTTAACGACTGAGCCACCCAGGCGCCCCTGTCGCTCGTCCCCTTTGTCTGCCTGCCACCCTCTCAGTCCCCTCACTTCCTTGGCTGTCTGATGTCCTGTTTCATGTCCTCTCTGTCCTCCACGCAGATGAAATTTGGCTCTGGTTTCCTTGCCCCATCAGTCATTGTGGAAAGTTGATTGCACATATTTGAGCACAGGCCCCATTCTGGGTCTCAGTAGATACAGGCTTTAACAGAATCAAGGCACAGCCCCTAGCCTTGAGGGGCTTACGGTCTCGTGAACGAGAGGGAGGTTACCTTCATAATCATTCGTACATGTGTGAAGTTACCACTGATGAGTAATAAACAGGAAGGAAGCCTATGTTATGGCAGCCTTCAGTAGGGGATTGAGCCAGGGAAGTCTCGCGTCTCCTTTGCCATAGGAATACTGGGCTGAAATCCACAGGATTTAACTGGGCAAAAAGGGGTGGGAGAAACCAAGGAAGCAGCCTGTGTAAATATTCAGTGATGGGGCGGAATAGACATACGTTCGGGTCTGAAAGGGCCGCCAGGAGGCTGAGGAGCCAGAAGCAGGAGGGGAGGTACTTGGTACCAAAGGAGTGGGGCGGGGGGGGTGAGGGGGGACAGGAGCCTAGTTACATACCCAATCTTTGTCCTGTGATACTTGCGTAGCCCTGAAGAGTTCTGATGGTGAGGGAACTCTATGGAAATCTGGTTATTCTTCAAATCAAGCCTCTAAACTTCTAGAGCAATAACACATTTGTATAATGTGTAAGGCCATAAACACAGACAAAGTACATTTGCATTACTTTTGTAACATAAAAGAGTGGAGGAAATCTGTAGATGAATTAACTTGTATTTGCAGTATGTGATTTGTGGCCACTGTCTCCTTACATTTTTTATAGACTAAGACCCCAGCAGTAGGGAATAGTCAGTTAATTTGACTTTATCTTCTTCTAGGAATAGTATTAGCCCTGAGTGAGCCTTAAAAAACAAACAAACAAACAAAAAGAGGAATTATCAAATGCATTTGGAGTATAGACATTTTTTATAAGATACACCTCGGGATTGACCTTCTTTTTCTCAGTGTGCCCATTGCCTAATTCTGAAATGAGATGTTGTCTTAAGATCCAGAAATGCGGTCGGTCCCATTTTCTTGATTTGCATAGTGAGTGTCTGTTTATAGGGATTGACTCTGCTTCATCTCCTCCGGTTCACACCTCACTCCTCTCGGCCTTGTAGTCTTTGCTTCTGTCCAGGCTTCCTCTGCCAAAGCACTCCCCACCTCCAGGATGTTTTGAGCCACTCTCTCTCCTGACTTGGCATTTTCACGGGAATAGAGAGAAACACTTGTCTAATTTTTATTCTCTGGCTGTTACTGAGAAAGGAGTCCCTGATACATTTTTTTAAAGTAAGCTCTACGCCCAGTGTGGGGCTTGAACTCACAACCCCAAGATCAAGAGTCTCACGCTCTACTGACTGAGCCCGCCAGGCACCCCTCTGGTACATTTTTATGGCATAAGCGTTTTATCCCTTTTAATATTTAAAATCTAAATAGCCCAAAGAGGGATTTTTCTGCTTGAGTTGGTAAGAGCCCCGATAAATAAGCTGTTACAATGGCACGAAGCATGAGTCCCTAACACCTGTTTGTTTCTACTGTTTGCCATTCACTTACATACCAGGTGGCACAGCTAACATTCCTCCTTTCTCCTGGTAGAAGTAACAGCACCACATTCTCATATATTTGGAGCCTGGATTCTATTCTAGCAAAAGACAAAAGGTCACACTCCTGTGATTTTTAGCTTATCAAATGGTGAGCAGCCTTTAACTATGCTAATGGTCCAGATTGTTTTGTTTTGTTTTGTTTGTTTTAAATTGGGAATGGTGTTTTTGGATATATGACAGAGAAACAGTTATTGATGAGATTCCTCAGTTTTTGTATTTTTTTGGTCTGTAGACACATTCCTTAACTCAGCGGAGGGCTGTCCAGGGTAGAAGAAAACGATTTGATGTGTTATTAGCCGAGCACAAAAACAAAACCAGGGAAAAGGAATCGATTCGCCATCCGGACTCTCAGCAACCAACGCAGCCTCTCAGGGACCCGCAGCCCGCCCCTCCTAGACCTTCACAGGAGCCACACCAAAACTCTCACGGAGTGATTCCTTCTGAATCAAAGCCTTTCGTAGCTAGTAAACCTAAACCTCACACCCCCAGTCTTCCAAGGTAAGCCAAATCCTCCAGCGCTCTCCCTCCTTCAGAGAACAGACTTGCAGACGCTACAAAACCCCAGTGTAGTCATGATGTCGAGGAGTGTGCATCAGGCTCACTCTAAGAAGATGAGAGATTTCTCTGATTGGGTTTTAATTTAAGGAAAAAAAATTGTTGAGTTCATCAGTAAGTTTCAACCAGGGCTCTTCTTGGCCAAATGCAAGCAGCAGAATGAAGCGAGAATGATCATCTCCACCCCTGCTCAGCTTCAGGGGTCTCTTAACCCCATTGAGCAGGGCTGAGACTTGGGTCCTGACTGCAGGTTAGTGCCTGGAATATCTCACATGGCTTTGGCAGCAGATTGCCATTCGCTTGTCTCACTTCTTGCAAAACACAGCCATGGGAGTCCTTGCTGGGGATGGGCATTCAGCCTGAGTTTTTACAGCATCCATTTATCAACCCGTTTTTTCATTCATTCATTCGAGACCTGGGCCTAACCGTGTATTAGGCGTTTCAGCCGTTTCGTAAGCGATGGATCTCAGAGTGTTTCACAAGAACTTAATGTACGTTCCTCGGAGACAGTGAAGGTGGACTTGGATATATGTGTGTTTGTGCTTGTAGATTTAACGAAGTTGAAGTGAAGGACTTTGTCCCCAATTTCTAGAGGGAAGGGAAAGAGAAAGGTATAGAGAATGAGGGTCTGCCCTGTCGGACACCGGCAGCAAGGGCTTCTGCTTAGGAATGTGCCAGGCCCTGGTTGCTGTGCCCAACCTTTCCCCCCTTGTGCCTTTTCCTTGACATGGTCGCATCGGGGTAGAAGTGGCTGCCCACGGAAACCCACGTGTGTAGTCGAGCCACTCCCAACACGGGCCCTCTGGTCTGTGAGCAGCGTGGTGGGGGAGCAGTGGGAGGCGGCACCCCAGAACGTGGCCAAGCCCAGGCTGGCCGTTCCGTGGCAAGTCCTTTCTCTGGCCATCTTCTCGTTGAAATTTTTCCGTCTATAAAAAAGTAAGCTTAATTCTAGAATCACCAGGCATTCATATATGTAGGAAACCTACAGTACTGCCCCTGAGTTGTAGGCCGTAGATTTTCCACATCACGTGGTCATGCTGCCTCCTCCTCTTATCACCTCCTGTCCCTCTCAGGGTTAGAGCACGTTGCCAGTAACCTCATTTATTGCCTCAGTAACCCAAGTCCAGGTGAAATTTGAAGAGGAATCAAAGAAAGACTTCTCTTAAGTTCCACTTCTATTTCCTGTTCTTTGGGGAGAATAGGAAGAGGCCCCGGGCCATTCGATCAGCTATAGAAAGGAGAACCATTTACAAGTTACCTTTGGGTAGATCTGGCAGACAGCTTCATGTGACGTCGTGCGGTTCAGGAGAGTGGATTCTTCGCTCCCCGGCCACCTGATCAGCATCTGTTGCCCCCAGTGCTAGTGGGGGACCCCAGGACTCCCTAGGTGGTCTCAGACACGTTGTTGTATCTGGGTTAAGGCGGCTGATTCCCAGATGTGTGATCTGATTGGTGCTGCACTTTCTACTCACCAAGGCCTCCAGGCTGCCCTGCTCAGCAAGGTGGGAGTGCCCCCATTGACCCTCCTCCAGTCCATGAATCTCCACACCCTCCCCTGCCTGCCACTGAGCCAGCTTCTCGGTTATCCAGTGAGGAGGGAGAAGGCGATGACAAAGAAGAGTCTGTTGAAAAACTGGACTGTCATTATTCAGGTCATCATCCTCAGCCAGCATCTGTAAGTTCCACATGTACCCCCGTGTTGACCCTCCCCACGCAGCAGGGACAGGGCACTGCAGGGGGGCGTGCCAGGGGCCTTGGCATGCCCATACGTGTGGGAGACGTGGTCAAGGTGTGAGAGCAGCTCAGAACAGGGCGCCCCAGAGGCGGCATGCACTCTCTCCTGGGACACCTCTTCTCCCTTTCTCTTCCATGAAACTCAGGGCTAGGCATCTTCACTCTCATGCTTCACAGCCTACGATACTCAGAGTAAGCTCTTTGACGGTTAGCTCCTTTCCTGAAGGAGAAAGAACCCTCACCACCGGTGCTCCTGTCGGAGTGAGCAAGCACGTGCGGTTGTGCTCTCTCTTGCAGTTTTGCACATTCGGGAGCCGGCAGATTGGAAGAGGCTATTACGTGTTTGACTCCAGGTGGAACCGGCTTCGCTGCGCCCTCAACCTCATGGTGGAGAAGCATCTGAACGCGCAGCTGTGGAAGTGAGTGCCTGTCCCACCACCTCTGGGGTGCGGAGAGGGGACCGACTTTACCCGGTGCTGCATCCTCTCTGTTTCTTATGGGACTGATTTGATAATGATGATGATGATGATTTAATAAGCTTATCTAAAAATTTATTTATTTTCCAGCGAGTAGGGGGAGGGGCAGAGGGGGAGGGGAGAGAATCTCAAGCAGACTCCCCACTGAGCCCGGAGCCCGACGCGGGGCTTGATCCCACGACCCTAAGACCATGACCTGAGCCGAAATCAAGAGTCAGACACTCAACTGACTGAGCCACCCAGGCGCCACAAGATAAGCTTATCTAAAATGAAAACATGGCCTTTGACTGTCCCTGAGAAGGCCCCCTCATCATTCATTCATTCACTCTTTCAGCAAATAGGTCTTGCTCTGGGTGCTGTGGTTCCAGACAGAGGGACTCCCACATGTCGGGGGAAACAAAAACCACTAAGCAGAAAATCAGGAGAGGTTATAGCTTGTCAGAAGGGAGATCATGGAAGCAGCAAGAATCACTGACACTTACTGAGAGCTTACTGTATGCCAGACAACTTAGATTTAATTTTCACAATATGCCGTCTCGGGGGACCTTGATTATCCCTCTTTTACCTAATGAAACCAAAAAGCAAGGTCACACAGCAAGTTGGTGAGTAGGGCCAGGATTTGGATCCAGAGGCGGGTTGGTTCCTAACAGAGAGCTGCGATGGGAAAACAAGAAGCCAGAGGGATTCAGGGAAGGGCTTGCTGAAGAGGCGTCCTTGAGCTAAGATGGATGGATGAGAAAGAGCGGCCATGGGATGGTGGGGTAGAGCGGGCTCTAGGCAGAAAGAACCGTATGTGTCAAGGTCTTGAGTCAGAAAAGGTCGTGGCTTGTTTGAGAAAAAACAAGAAAGCGAGCATGCTCTAAGATGAAACTCAAGAAGCTGGCAGGGGCCAAATGACCCTGAAATTGATTCTGAGTGCAGTAGGGAGCTGCCGAAGGTTTCAGGAAGAGGAGCCATGTTCTCTGGTTTACAGCATAAGACAGTCATCTTGTGAGCCACAATGTGTGCTAGTGTTTCCTACATGGGATTTTAAGTGGAAGAAGAGTTTCATGGCCAAAAGGCTCAGCTTTTTCTGAAGTGAAATCGTTTTCATTATTGCAGGACTTCTCAGAGCCTTTCAGGGGGGCACACTGTTCATTGTAACTCTCAAAGCAGGGGAGATCATGTATAATGTGGAATATCTCCCAAGTTCTTTTGACCTGGGAACCTCTTTTAGGGGAGCATCTTAGGGAACTAATGTTGGGTGGAACCTACTTTGGGAAACCTTGAGTTTTGCTAAAGGAAGGGGGCTGTCCAGTCATCCACATGTCATTCCATATTCTCCATTTGGGCATCATTTACTAGTGCCTTCCTGAGTGGACTCTGCCAGTACATCCATTTGCCTTACTGCCTTGGTTTCCTCATAAAGTCAGAGGAAGCTGGTCCGAGGCCTCAGATAGTCCACAGTCTGAACTAGCTTCATGATCATTAATAGGACTTGCATTTATTCTCTTAGAAAATTAGACCCAGAGCAGTGCTGCTCTGCTTTTCTAGTTCACATTTCTCCCTGGTCTTTTATTTAGATAAGAGACTCCTCTTCCCTCTTTATGAAGGAACTTGGTCTTTGCTTAGAAAAATGAGTCCGGACACTGGTTTGTTGGGATTCTGGGGGTCTCTCCACATCAGAAAACCCCCAAATAGGTGAAATCTCAGCTGCTTATTTCTTCAGACGATCTGTTAGGACTTGAAGAGTTCATTGAGCTCCCCAAGCTGTGGATTTAGTGTCCTTCTAAGAGTTTAGCAGGGTCCTCAGAAGGCCTTATTCCCATTATACTGATAAGTGGTTTATGTCCAGCAGTTGGGGTGAATATGGTTTCGGTTCATAGTGGCTGCTGTGGGGAGGTTTTTGTCTTTGTGCCATGACCTCTTGAAGACGCAGAATCATGAGGTTGTCTCCATGGTCTCTTTTTTCTGTCAGAGGCTGACTGCCTCATCAACCACTTGATCCCAGCAAGGAGGAAATCATGCCTTTCTGTTAACATGAACTTTGGTTTTAAAAAAGCCAGTACAACAGAGAGACGTTTTGCTCAGTGATGAGCTGGCACACAGGCCTGGGGCAGACAGGAGCTCGGAGAGAGGTGCCGGGAATGAGGCCAGGCAATGCAGGCGAGCTTCTCAGGCAGCCCCTGAGATTCGCTGGAAGGAGCTCAGCACTTCTCAGTTCAGGAACAGTCCTCAGGTGGCATCTTTGACTTACTCAAGGAAACTCCCAGAGTGGTCCAGGTCCCATCCTACTGGCTCAGCCAAAAGTCTTCCCTTTCAGGAGGTCTTCCACTTTCAGTGGCAGCCTTCTCAGTCCTTTACCCAGTAGTTACTTGTTATGGTTAATTTGGGGATAAGTGGAAATGGGATTTGAGTATGTCAGTGAAATAAGTCATCTTCAGTGTATGGAGTCTGAACACTGGGGAAATTAGACCAGAATTTCCTCTGGAGCGTGGCCATGACCCCAAAGGCCAGTTCTGAGCTCCTGTGATTTCTTTCAACTGCTTGTCTGCTGTTGATTGGGGACCTCTATTCCACACATCCTAAGGAAGGGATGGGATCCTTAGCAAAGGGTTTTTCTTTGGCGGCGGGTGGGCACTGGGGGGGAGTAGAGTGGTGGGCAATGGTACTTAATTTTTTAGATTGGTAATCAATTCACTGGGGTAAAAAAAAAAAAGAAGAATGAATGTAAAGAGGTATACAGTTCAGAGTTTTACTCTCCCTGACCCCCACATTCCTATTTCCCACCCCACCCCTCCACGGACAGAAGCATTTTTATTAATTGCTTGTATATCTTTACAGAGTTCACTTATACAGACATAAGTCAGTACGACTACATATTCTTTGTCTTGTTTTTATACGAAAGGTAATGAATGACTTAAAAGAGCTTTTTTTACCAGGAACCAGTATGTTGTGCAGAGAGCTCCGCATCTCTCCCTGTCTGGAAGCTTTTCCTTTTTCCAGGATTTAGTTCCAGCAGCCTCGTCTTTAGGCTTCGTCTCCCTAAGCCCCCCTGGTGGCCGTGAGGGGCCACTGCACCCAGTGAGCAGGAGCGGTGCTACACCCCTACCTTCAGAGCAGGGCTTCCCAGAGGTGCCAGTGCCCACAGATTGCCTGGGGATCTTGTTGAGATGCAGATTCTGATGCAGTAGGTCGGGGTGGGGTGCAGGGACTCTTCATTTCTCATAAGCCTTTCAGATAACGTCCGTATCTGTCCTCCGTGATAAGCATGGGGATAGAGCCCCGCTTCTCAGTTTTTGCTTCATTTTGGAATCTCCCAGAGATTGAGAAACTTCTCATGTCTGGACCCTGCCCTACAGGGATTTGGGTGTGGTCAGTCTGGATGCACTGGTCTCTGGGGCCAGAACGACACTCCTGAATGGGGTGGTTACGGCTGGTACAAATACAGTCAGTAGTTGCTTTTATTAAAAGCTATAGGCCTTACAAAGCATCTGGAAAGCACTTTAGCAGCAGTTGAGGACACCTCTCATTTGGCAGATGAGGAGTTGGAGCCCCAGCTGGTGCAGTGACTGGATCCGCCAGAGCTGCCCCATAAAGTCAGGAGCGGTCCGGTCTGGACACTTGCCTTCCATTCAGGCTGTTTTCTGTGTTGTCACCTGGGTGTTAGTTCTGCCATAGGGGTTTTTGAAATTTAGATGCTCTCATATTTTAAAATCAGAGCAAAACCAAAAGGGGACCTCCCTGGTTTGCCATTTGAATGACTCATCTTCAGATAGGTACTTAGCCCAGACATTATTAACAGAATACCTTTTTCCAATACTGTGATTGGAAGCCCCGGGAGTTGTGATTCAAGCCTGTAGGTAGCACCTAGCAGTTGCTATTAAATCTCTGTGCCCTTCCTTTTTTCACATTTATTCATGAATTCCCTCAACATTTGCCTGCCTTCTGTATTCCTGGCACTGTGCTGGGCACTGGGGTACAGTTATAAATACGCTGTGGACTGCTCTGTCTGTAGGGAAGTTAGACCGTGATCAGCAGTCACACATGGAAACTGCTTTGCCTGCCCCCAAGTCTGGGAACAGGCAGCATGAGTCTCTGGAGGACCAAGCAAGTCCGGATGATCTGGACAGATTTTGTAAGAAAGTGATGATGGTCTGAAACTGAAGGGTGAGCAGAATATGGGGTCAGAGCGTTGTAGGCGGCAGATAGACAGTGCCTCACGTCCAGACCTGTTTTGCGACGTAAGCAAGGTCGGTGGGTGGAATCTGGGAACTGGGAGGCGCGGGGGTTGGGGGGGAGAGATGGGAGGAGGCAGTGTGAGGCTGGGGACCGGCAGGGAGTGAGGCACGCATGCTTTACAGACCATTATTCAGAGAGCCCGAGGAAGGCATGAAGGAATTTGAAGGAGAGAAGTGGCAGGAAGGACGGGCTGTGCATTTCAGATGGATCCCTCTGACAGGTGTGTGCTGCTCAGTGCCAGGGGTGAAGAGCACGTCCATCTGAAAGCTTCTGTGAGTGGCTGTGGCGATGGTTACTCACTGTCCTCTCTCTTTGCAGGAAAATTCCCCCGGTGCCCAGCGCCACACCCCCCGTCTCCACACGTGTTCCCCATCGGACGAACTCGGTGCCGACAGCACAAGGTGGGGTTGGCTGTCTGGCCACAGCCACTGTGTCGACATCCCCCGTCCTGCTCTCGGCCACCTGCATCTCCCCAAACAGCAGATCGGTACCAGCTCATGGAACCACACTAAATGCACAGCCTGCCGCCTCTGGGGCAATGGATCCTGTGTGCAGTATGCAATCCAGACAAGTGTCCTCTTCATCCTCGTCCCCCTCCACCCCCTCTGGCCTTTCCTCAGTGCCCTCCTCCCCGATGTCCAGGAAACCTCAGAAGTTGAAATCCAGCAAGTCATTAAGGCCCAAGGAGCCTTCTGGTAACAGCACTAACTGTCACAATGCCAGTAGCGGTACCAGCGGCGGCTCAGGAAAGAAACGCAAAAACAGCTCCCCGCTGTTAGTTCACTCTTCCTCCTCCTCCTCCTCCTCCTCCGCTTCTTCTCATTCCATGGAGTCTTTTCGCAAGAACTGTGTGGCGCACTCTGGGCCTCCCTACCCCTCCACGGTAACATCTTCCCACGGCGTGGGCCTCAACTGTGTGGTAAATAAGGCGAACTCCGCGAGTGTCCGGCACGACCAGTCAGGGAGGGGCCCCCCGGGAGGGAGCCCCGCTGAGTCCATCAAGAGGATGAGTGTGATGGTGAACAGCAGTGACTCCACGCTTTCTCTCGGCCCGTTCATTCACCAGTCGAGCGAGCTGCCCGTCAGCTGCCACGGCAGTTGCTCACACGCTCACACTCCCCTGGACAGACTGCTAGGAAAGAAGAGAAAGTGCTCGCCCGGCTCCGGCGGCGCCAAACCCACGAAGGTTGCCAGATTGCCAGCCGCCAACAATGTGCACATGAAGCATGCGGGCGCCAGCCCGGGGCCCCCAGGACTGACGAACAGTTCCCTCCCTCATCAGGTAGGAAAGGGACCGTGAGCCCGGTGGGGAGGCCCACTTCCTCCCCCTCGAGTTCTTCGGCCAGCCCGGAGATCGGTGTGCTGGGGTTGGTTGGTTTGCCTGTAAACACGTGTCCAGCTTCGTGGTCTCTTTTCAAAAAGGAAGAGCTTGTGGCCATGTGAAGGTAAAACAGCGTTTCTCTGCCAGAATTTCCTAGGACTTGGAAGATGCTCCTGGGTCAGGAAACCACGTAGTGCACTTTAGTAGCTAGGGCCACAGAAGCCATCCTGCGTGACAGCAGGGGGCCCGCCGCAGCTAAGGGGTACGGGCCCCAGGGGCGCGCGCGTCCTGGGACACCGTTCGGGGAGGATGCAGGCCGTGCGTGCCTGGGGACTGGTTCTCTCGTTTGTTCCTCTGAAGAAAGCTGGCCTGCAAGCACACTGATCTAGAAAGGGATGGGTTAAATTTTTGAAAGAAAGACCTTTTAATAATTTTCCCACCAAAGGACTTCGGATTTTCCAGTTAACTCTCTCCTTATCTTTTCACCCAGTTTTCCAGGGAGGCAAGGAAGCAGCAGTAAGTGTGGGTAGAGACAAAGACCAAAATCTCATTTAAGTGAAGAAATGTGAATGCAGGCCCATCTGTAGAGCGGTGGCTAACTGGGTGTCAGATTCATAATGACTCGTGACTCTCTGTCTTGCGCTCTCTGGTCCCCGCCCTTCCCTTCCCCCCCAGTTCCCGTCGTCCCCTCACCCTCTTCTCCTGGAGCTCCTTCCTCCAGCCTCCTTTGCTCTAAGTGCCTGTTCGTCTCTCCTCTTGTTACTTCACTCATCAGCGTGTCTCCTCTCCTTGCCTGCACTCGGGGATGTCAGCAGCACCCCCCAGAGCCCTGAGGTACGGTGCAAAGCTGTTCTGTTCTGTTGGCTTCCTCCTCTGCAGAATTCAACTCAACTGGCAGGTTAGGATTGTTCAGAAAATACCAGGAAGTTTCTTACAGCAATAGAGTTCCCTCCACTATCTGTGTGAATGAATACCCACTGCCAAAGGTGTGGGGAAAAGATTTATCCGTGAATTTAAGTAGCAACTGTTTAAATTCTTCTCTTTGAGCCTCAGGTCTATAGGGGCTGTTTATATGTTGCTTGGCTGTTTGAGCAAGGGGTCCCTGGACATGTGAAAATGAGCTTTCACCACTTGGTTTGTAGTTATTCATTATAGTTTATCAGCATAAAAATTCAGTGCAAATACTGCAGGAAGTGGTTTAGCCAGCCATCCTTTAAAAACTTCCTTCTGAGGGTAGTTTCTGTGAACCTGAGGGAGGGGTGTTCCCTTGTGTTGCGATGCCCCACACGTTCTTTTACTGCGTGCACCTGTCTTCCCACAGACAGCGCTGCCAGCCCTTAGTGCCCACAAGTCACAGAAAGGAGGGGAGGAGGCTGGTGGGCTCAGCGGAGATTAACAGTGCTTGTGGAAAACGAGGGAGTAGGAGCCCATCTACACAGAGCAGGTGCTCCCAGAAACCTGTCACCCATTTCAAAGAAACTGCAGATCTGGACCTGGCATGAGAAATTTGGCCATGTTTAAAAGTTATGTAGTGTGTTGTTTTGAAATCTCGTACAGCCCACGCATCTCCTGACCATGTCTGGCTCATGAGCTGCCAGTTTGCACTTCTGATGCCCACCATTGGGGAGGGCCCTGTCCCACTAGGACAAACAGTCTGAGTTTGGGTTCTTAAAATTAGTTTCAACTTAAGTGTGGATTTGGTAGATTTCCCCCGTGCGGTAGAAAACTTCATTATGCTGCATAAATCTTAAGGGGGGGGGGCATGGCTAGAGATTGGAGGATCGGTGAACCCCCAAAAAAGTGTTGGGTATTTTTAGTGTCTGTGCTCATTTATCTGCAGGAGGGATCCTATAGCTTTCATCAGGATCTCAAAGGTATCCATGACTCCAAAATGCTGTAGAGATCGCTACACTTAGAAGAGTAGGAACCTCACCTCCCTGTATCTTGGGGAGCTGATTTTAAGATTTAATTAATTTATTTTTTAGGTTGGTGGGGTGGGGCAGAGGGAGAGAGAGAATCTCAAGCAGACTCCATGCGAAGGGTTGAGCCCGACACAGAGCTCGATCCCATGACCCCAAGATCAGCACCTGAGCCCAAACCGAGAGTCGGACGCTTAACCGACTCTGCCACCTGGCCACCCCTTGTGGAGCTGATTTTAAAACAGAAAACTGAGCTGGTTGAAGACCCCTAAACCAGGGAATGTGGGCGTGGTGGGCTGTACTGGGAAGCCTGGCAGATGGGGCTTGGCAGCTTCCCCCATCCGCCCTGCAGTCTGCTTGTGGCCTCTCCGCCCAGGACTTCAACAGCTCACTGTGGGTCACTAGGGGCCTGAGTTCCCCCACCCCAGGCACGGGCACCTGCGTGTGCTACCCCATACGACCTTGTTCAGTTCTCAGCTGACAACCTGGAAGACCTTCAAGGAAATGAAATCAGTAAATAAAACCAGAAGGCAAACATGAGAGCCTTTTCTCTGAGCTAGAAACCTGGCCTGCTTCCCTTCTGGACGGTCTTCTCAAAGTCAGCGGTTTAGAATGATTGTGCCCAAGGCAGGCAGTTGAAAGCTAAGGCCAGGTTGCGTGGCCAGTGCTCCTGGCGTCACCCAGCGCCAGAGAGAGCGGAGCGTGTGGCCTCGGGATGCTCTGTTGGGCGTCAGGGCGGTGCCGCGTGCAGCTGCTTACTTACCTTTTCATTGTTTCCCTACCCCCTCTTTTTTGAAAGCCAAAGGCACGTCCCTGACAGCTGAAAATAGCGCGGGGAGGAATAATCTGGACACTTTTGACGACAAGTTACACCTCCACTCAGCACTATGGACTCCACGATGCCTTTGAGTCTGTTTTCCCAACCTCCTGTGGGCTTCGAGGGTAGAAATCTGCCGGGCTGTTGTTGTAACGAGGATTTCCCTGAAGCTATGTCTGTAGCAGTGAGTACGTGTAAAGGACACTGGATCAAGTTCAGCCACCGAATTGCTTCTGTCAGTGTTAACGTGGTCTGGACTGCTTGCTACCAATCTGTGAGAAGTTGTTGCTTTGTTTTTTTTAACTTGCAGTAAATCATGGAGCCACTCTTTGAGTAGATTGGCGGGGCGAAAGAATGTCTTGGCAAGAGCATTACTGTAGACTTTTCTCCCTTCTTCCCCCTTCCCGTCCCAGTTCTTTTTTTACACTGTCTTCTGTAGGTCACCCTCCAGCAGTTAGGTCCCCCATCTGGAGACACCTTCCAGAGGAGAGCAGAGCTGCGCCCTGAGCAACCCTCCGGAGAAGGCATGTGCTGTCAGGTTTTTATAGCAATGTTCCGGGAAGGGAATATGGACGTTAGCACGAGGCATCATGACAAAATAGCCTGTATTTTCCCCCAGCTTTTTGCAAGTAATTTGGGGTAAGAAGCTGTCAAAAGTTTCTAACTTACAAACTGGTTTAAAGCCATCGACACCCAGAGAGCAAGTATACCACATTGTAGAGGCTTACTTTTCAAGGTACTTTTCATTCTATGTGATTTTTTTTTTTTTTAAGAAAATGCAAATGCAAACTAGTTTTGATAATGGAAAGCCAAATTTTGGTTGGGGGATGGGGGTGGGGGGTGGGTAGATAAAATCACTATGGGGGAAATGTTTTTCCAAGATTTCCAAAGAGGTGGAATTTTTTATCCTTTAAGTTTTCATGTTGTACAATAAGGCAGATTGGGTTGGTTGCCCTGCCAGTCTCCTGTTTTTAAAAAAAAAAATGCCTTTGTAAAGTGAAATTACTAGAATGCAGCAGAAACTGTCATTCACGAAGTCATTAATATATGTAAATGTTTCCAGGGCACTGTGTGCATTACCCTCAGTCTCGGTGGTTGCTGTCCTGGGACTCCATGTCAGTTTCTGCTGTGAGCACTCCCCGTCTGGTGCGTGTCTGCTCTCCCTTCCTCTCCACAGGTTCCCTGGGATGCCGTTGGGTCCCCAGGCATCCAGGGAGGGGAGCAGGCAAATGTGTACACATACCCAGGCAAAGATGACGTGCTGCATACACTTGCCCGACAGACCCTCCTTCCCGGGGATTAATACCAGCCGTCTTCCAGAGAGAGTTCTGGAGTCCCTCGGGGTTATTTATTTATTTATTTATTATTTTTTTGAGTACCCCATCCCAAAAGAAAGAGCTTCCTGTGTTAAAACGTCAGTGCTTGAGAAGGTATCATTGCATTGGGGGGATGAGCTGGGGCACTGGCACTGGTGATTCCACGATCACAGCTCCTGAAACAAGAACCCAGGCACTTTTGCTTAGAAGAACACACAGAGTTGCCGATCACCACAGGGTACCTTTCCCCGGGCTCTGATCGCTGCTCCGGGCAGGGCCTGGACAGGGCCTGGACAGAGCCAGGCAGTGCATCCTTTCTTTCCCTACAATTCTTGGGTTACAAACGTCAGTTTCAGGGAATTTCGAGTCAACAACAAGTAGAATGAGTAAATACTTGGTTACCAGCCTAATAATGTGAATTGCTACAGAATTATTATGTAAGACAACAAAAGCTATATGCAGATACTTTAGCTATAAATTGATGTAAAATATTGATTTTTTTTTTTTAAAGGAAGGGGAGAAGAGTATCTTGTTCACTTATTATGCAATCAGTAAATATTTTTAAAAAATGATACTATAGGAGAGCTTAGTAAGGAGAGCGCATGGAAGGGCCAGTTTGGTGTAGTTAGGAGAAATCAGTCTGGTTGTTCCATCCCAGTGGAGGGAGAGAACGGAAGTAAGAGGGAATCAGAACGTACTTAAGTTGATTCCTTGGTGACAAGTGCAATGGGGCTATGGGTAGAATTTATTTTCAGAGCCAAGGGGACTTGATGGATATAAATAAAGTTGCTTTTAGCGATGGAATTTATAGACAGATCATGTTGTTCCAAAAGATGTGAATAAGATCCATGATAGCAAGTTGATTCAGAATTATGTAGATATTTAGATAAGCGAGTGTTGATCATTTGATTTCTTAGACTGAGGTTTTAAATGAATTTCATTATGTCTCCCGGTAGTACACAGATCATCGGGATTAGGAAATTAGCCATTTTGGATTCTGCCTGCCACAAACAGACCTATTCTGAACAGTGCTATTAAATTTTAGACTGTTGAAATATTTTATTTTCTCCTACAACTACTTTTTATTATAATGAACAATTAAGACCATTTAAAACACGGGAGTACAAGTATTTTTTTGAATTAAATTAACTTGCAAAAACCAAATTTGCAGTGGTTGGGTTGTTTCTAGACAGACTTTGGTATCAATTTAAAACCAAGATAATTTTTATATTCTTTCCAATAGAATTTCATGACAACTCCTGCAGTTTTCTTAACCTACAAAAAAAAAAAAAAAAAGTGCTGCATTGATGAACAAAGAATTCTACAAAACCTACTTTTGTATCTTTATTTTGGAATTTCTTGTTCTATTATAAATATGGAAGTATCCCTATTTCAGAAGACATATTTTGTTAAAAATGAATTGTACATATTTAAATATGTATTTTTGCACAGGTCTTTTTTTCTGATATCCTGTTTTGGTACAATTGAGATCATCTAGTATTTATTTATTAATTAATAAAAGTAAATACCTTTTTATAATTTGAAGTGGTTCACTGCCAAGCCAATAGTTCTAGATTCTGCCTCCTTTACAGTTTAAGGGATGCCTCTGTTCTGTGAAAGTCTTTTTGTCCCTTTAATGTCTCGGGAGCGGATTCATGCCGATCAAGTGGGCATGGCTTCTCTAGTTGCCTGATTTCCCGATAGACTACACGTAACAAAGTGACACACTGCTTTTCTTTTGTTCGTGTTTTATGTGTGAGTGCGCGTGCGTGCCTGTGCGTTTGTATGTGCACACTCTGAGCACGTGTGTGTGTTCATGTGTGATGTGGTTTAAAACTAACGGGAAAAACTGAAAGTGCCTGAACCTAGTTTTAAGCTTCGACAGATTCTTTAAAAAGACTTGAATGTTCAGTTCAACTTTTGGAGTTTGCTTTTTCCACCTAAATATTGTTTCTAAAATCTTAGGTGAGGAGTTGAAAACCACCAATGCTGGTAATTTTATTAGGTATTTTAAAATTAAGGCCTTTTGGTTCACAGTAATTCAACTGGTGACGGATTGCCTGGTGGCACCAAGGGTTACAAATCTTTTGGTCAGCCAGTGACTTTCACAATATGTCCGTTTTGTTACTCACTCATGAAATACAGAGTTTAAAATAGAATATTTAAAAGATTTTATATTCCAAAAATATAATACAAAGTACCTCTGAGAACATTGAAAAATGCATAATTTGAAAAATGTAACTTATAAAGGCAGCTGTCTTCCTGCAAGAGTTCTGTTGCCAAGGAATTTCTTAACTATCTCTC